TGATTAGCCCTTAAAAAGATTGCCCCTGTGTGAGGTATTGGCCTGGCTTTAGTAATCATTTTCTGCTGTTTCCATCATATCTTATTTTCTTTATTTTTCTCCACATACCTCATGTCACTATAGGCTTTTGGTATTTATCAGCAGCTCTCTCTAGGAGAAAAGGAGAGCATTAAGGAATGGTGAGGTAATGACACCATTTATAATGCCTGTTTGGTGAAAGAATGAATGGAAATTGCCCTCAAAATGACAAAGTATTCACCTACACACTACCTACACACATAAACACACACACACACACACACACACACTTACAGTTCTCTTAAATCCAGGCACATTCAGCTGTATGTAAAGCATAGCCATACACCAAAAGAACGAGGTCGAGGAAAGCAGACAGTACTGCAGTTGGTGCCAGCTCCTTTTTGTACCCTCATTACCCAAGTACAATAATACCAGCTTATTTCTGGGGGAGCAGTTGACTTTTTAGAACTCTTTGTCTGCATTATACATTTTGCTTTACAAAGCACCCCTGCAAGGGAAGCAAGTTGGCATTAGTAGCCCAAATTAGAGATGCAGAACAACAGAAATAACTTGATGAGGGCAGACATACACACAAACTTATTGGACAGACAAACATCTAAGCTTGTCACAGAGCAGAATTTGCGACTTTAAAACCGGAACAAAATACCTCCTACCTTGTATGCTACCAAGTTTAAGTGAAATGTAGCTGAAAGATCTAATTCATAGTAACTTTCTTCCTGGTACTTAAAGATCTTTCTCAGAGCCAGTGTTGGGGTACAGCACTTGAGAGCCACCACTTGAGAGGCCCACAGCCCATACTGGAGTGTCTTTTTTGAGTCTTGCCTTACTCAACTTCTATTTTTTTTATGATTTGTCTTGTTTATTTGAAAGGCAGACTGACAGAGAGAGAGGGAGAGAGATGTTCCAACTGCTGTTTTACTCCACAAATGATGACAAGGTTGGGGGCTAAACCAGGCTGAAACCAGGAGCCTGGAGCTCCATCTGTGTCTCTGGTACAGCAGCAGGGGCCCAGGAAATCAAGCTATCTTCCACTGCCTTCCTAGGCACATTAGCCAGGAGATGGATCAGAAGTGGAGCAGCTGGGACTCTAACTGGCACTGCAATATGGGATGCCAGTGTTGCAAGCAGTTTGGACTAAGCCACTGCACCAGACACTGGCTCCTTTCTTCTCTGCATCTGACCCAGCTTCCTGCTAATGTACAGAGAGGTGGCAGATGACAGCTCAAGTGTTTAGTACCCTCTCACCCACAAGGAAGACTCAGATGGACTCCCAGGCTCTTGGACTACATCTGGCTGTAGTAAGCATTTGGGGAGTGAACCAGCAAATAGAAGATATTTCTCTCTCTCTCTCTCCCCCTCTCCCTCTCCCCCCCCCCCGCTCCTTCTCTCTCATTGTTGTTCTGTTCTGTCTTTCCAATAAATAAACCTTAAAAAAAAAAACTTTCTCCTAGAGCATTGGTGAATTTCAGAAATCCAGAACTTCCATTTAAAATAATCAATCAAGAAATGACAAAATCCTTAAGGAAGAAACAGCAGAAGAAACTGGTGAGGGTTCAGACACTGCTTTAGAAAATTGGGAGGTGTGACAGGGAACTGCTAGGGTAGATGTCTTACAAGTGCTAAGAGACTGAAATTACAGTTATTCATCCACATATTCACCTGGGAAACTAAAGCTGGACATGAACTTGGCATGATGGTAACCACCAGAAGGGTAAACTCAGAGAACCAAAGAACCCACCTCTGGAAAGCACAGTTGAGGTTGGTATATAGAGCAGTTGTGGTTGTTTTCATTAAGACTTCTGGAATTATTTCATTTTAGTCAACCCTTTTCATGTACATCTTTAATAAAAACAATTCTTTCTTTAAAAAAAGAAATTCAGAACTTCTGTTTATCAGTCAGGTGCCAGTTCTTTTCATTAATACAGATTAACGGTGCTCACCAAAAGTTGCATCCTGAATGTTGTGAGATGCCGTGTTCTCTGTAAGGATGGTGACTCAGAGTCAGACAAGCCTCTCTGTGTGAGGGCTCTCAGTGTGTAACTCTGAAGCCAGACCAGCAAACAAATACCTGCTAACAGTTACTGAGGATGCCCTAATGCCAACAGCCCTCTGTGTGGGTCATCCTGACCATGGCAGTAAATACCTTGCAGCTAGCTTTCTTTTGCTGAGTGTTCAATGTGTGAGCTTTATCATGTCTCTGTCAAACATCCACTAACAGTGCTGACAAAAACTGAAAATCCACCCCCAAAATCTCTGCTTATCATCACCAGACTAGAAAAACACAAATGAAGAGCAAAAATTTTTATAACACCAATTGCAGAATAAACACCTAATATGGATGCTTAGGTAAAGGTTAACATTATCACATTAAATCATCATATGGTATCCAACTGTGGTTTCTCAGAGAACAGAACAGGATCTGCATATCAGAATTTCATATAATCACTCATGAAAGTCAGAAATATACCCAAAAGGAGCCAATTTAATTCAACTTAAACTTCCTTAACTTTTACAGGTAGACCTTGTAGTTAACCGAGTTTACATCATAAAAAAAGTCAGGTTAGCAGGAAAATTATACATGTGTATTTGATTACTGTTCTTTCAAAGTAAGATCAGGATAATTTCTTTGAATTGGAGTTTATTGATTGGAATTCTTTTTCCAAAAAAGAATATAGATAAGTCATATGTATTTATGAATTTGGTTTCAGATTTCTTACTCTCTTCCTTTTTCTCTCTCTCTCCCTCTGTCCTTGTGTGACAGAGAGAACTTAAAACTCTATAACATATATTTAAAATATGCTATCTCAAAAACTAAAAAAAGAGACATAAGGAAAGGTAGAAGGAAGAAGTTTGGGAGGAAGGGAGGGAGAAAGGAAATATAATTATGTTTTTGGAGTTGTGTGCATAAATCATATAGAATCAGTTAAACATTAATTAAAATAAAAATGAAATTTGAAAAAGAAATTATAATATCAAGTTCTGGTGAGTGTGTAGAGACAGTAAAACTCCAACACATTGCTGATGGGAATCCAAAATGGAACACCCACTTTGAAAATTCTTGTGAAGTTAAAAAAGAAAGCTCAGAACTAGCTACCTATTTTAATGTGAAAGAAAAATGGAAAAAGAAATCTAAAATTAAAAACTCAAAAATGTTTCATTTACAAGTTAATATTAAGTTTTTCACATAATACAACTTAAATTTGATTCCTTCAGGCCTCCTAATCATATAAGTGTCTTTGGCACACTATTTATGCATAAGTGTTTGTATCTACAAAATAGAAACACAAGCCAATCAGTAACGTAAAATTCAAATTAGTTAATACATTCTAAATATTTTGTAAGTTTTTATAATATATATCTTAGTCATACTGAAAATGTTGGAGCCGAATTTCCTAAAATTCAAGGAAAGTTTGTGCCTCTGAACTAAGAAAGTGATTTATTTTAAAATATTCCAACACAAAATGGATATATGCTTTGTTTTCACCAGAAATGTTATTTTATGTCTATTTAAGTGAAGAACATAAAATAAATTTATCCAACAGGGCATTATGTTATTGAAATGAGTTGAATGGAATGATAATTTTTAATTAAAGATTTTTAAAAGAAGGAGGAAATTCAGGTTTATATGCACTCCATAACAATTCTGAATAGCATATTGCTTATCACCATAACTTCATTTTGATCCTCCTGGAGGAACATTAATATATAGTTAAAGCTAAGAAAATCTGAAGTCACCTATTATAAACAGCTTCATAAGATATTCTAAAGGCATTATTCATCATAAATGATCACATAATTACTTTTAAAAGATCCCTGCAAATCATTGTAGCACAAACAAGTTTGGAAAAACCTATAATTGATGTATGATAAGGAATCAGTTAATGATGAAAATAATTAAATAACAGCCAGTTACTTATATGTATTTGTTATTACATCATCAACAATTAATATGGACTGCCAAAGGAAATCAGCAGTATTGGCCAATCAATACTGATATTGGATATCAGTTAAGAGAGCTTCTACCTTGTGCCCTGTGTCTATTGATAATCTCAGGGGTGTTCTCAAAGAACATTAAGAATGTACAATTAACAATTCTTACCTTGTCTCTATTAAACACCAATGTCTGCAGTAAAGTCAGTTGAATTCTGTGATGTGGCTTTAAGCACTAATACTTCATATTGCTACTTGTAGTAACTGCCTCATGTTTTAGCTGTCAGAGCCTCGTGCTTATGCATTGTTCAGTGGAGAAACATATTTCAAGGGTAGGATGGGTGTTTGCTTTTGGGCAGGAACATTCTCAGTGGGAGTGGGGAGGAGGACAGGAGGAAGGGAGGAAAGAAAGAAGGAAGGAAGGGAGGGAGGGAAGCGGGGTGGGGAGTAGGGAGGGAGACAAAACAGTTCTTTGAATCTTCCTCTATGCCTTGGAAAGTACTGGAATATGCCCCCTGGAAATCTGAGCTGCACAGTGTAGGAGAAATGTTTCATTCTGAAATATCCAAGGATGTGTATATTACATTTTGATCCCACTCAACTCTCTAGTGGTCTCTTTAAAGTCTAGAATGCCTGCTTCTAAATAAAGTCTTCATTCAAAGAGAAAGAGAGAGAGAGAGAGAAAACAAATTATGTTTAGATCAAGCACAGTGGGATTCTTGTTCAAACCACAGAAAAATTGGTCTCCATCATGTGATCAGTTATATTTTCATGGTATTTAGAATACATTTGTCATTTAAACACTATATATTCCAACACTGGTTTTAAGATCTTAAGTATATGTCTGCATTTAGATCTATATATCTTCATGTGATACCTGCTGAAAAACTTATAACAATGGATTTGGGGTCTATGCTATTCTTCCATTTACTGTTTTGGGTCTTTTATTTGTGTAAATTATATTCTTTTTTTAAAAAAAATGCATAAATTATATGACTAATGTTTCTTATGCATTTCTTTTGCTTCTGCAGGAGGGATTTTTGAAACTGTGGAAAATGAACCTGTTAATGTTGAAGAATTAGCTTTCAAGTTTGCAGTCACCAGCATTAACAGAAACCGAACCCTGATGCCTAACACCACATTAACCTATGACATCCAGAGAATTAACCTTTTTGATAGTTTTGAAGCCTCACGGAGAGGTAAATATTTTCCCACTTTTAAAAGCTTCTTTGGGTGATATGTCTGCTCTACAAGTCACCTTCCTTGCACTACTTGCCCCTTCTCAAAATGGACATCTTTGTGCAATTGGGTTGCAGGAAATCTTGGTCTTCGATGTCACTGATCAATGCAATCTGAACTAACCTAATGGATGTTGCCCAGCCCTGTTTTCTGGGCCTTTCTGATTAGCTTACCCTTCAGTGCCCTCCACTCTATGATTAACTAGTTCAGCTGTGAATGGAAAATGTCAAGCTTGATCTTCTTTTCCTTCCTGAAGCTGAGATACCACCATGAAATTGTACAGTGCACTCAAATAAAACTTTGTAGAAGGTCACATCTGTCGAGCTCATGGAAATGCCCTGAGCACATATAACACATCCTGAATTTTAGCAGGTTGAAAACCACTGGCTTTACCTAGTTTCTTCTCAGTTTTTGATTTTTTTGACTCCTTTCCACAAAATCATACAATGTGGTGATTAAGCCTAGGAAAACAATGTCTACACTGGAATCTTTGTCTTCTGAACTGAAGAGAAATGTCTATAAAGAGTAATCTAGTACCCAGGTTTGCTGTAAGCTCTTTTGATTCATGGGGAATTGTGGGGCTTGTTCAGACATCCCTGAACACTTGCAGCTCTTTCAGGCAAGATCACATTTGACATATTTGAAATTTGGGTTCTTAGGAGGGCCCTGTCTCGTGACCATATAAAGCTGTGACCAGATAAAGCTGCTTGTGTGGAAACAAACGTTCATCACCCCAGAATAGGAGGAGTGCTTTGCCTCATAGAGGAATGCCTTGCCTGTCAAGAACACACAAAAAGTGGAATACAATGAATTCCATGTTCATTCTGATTTCCAAGTGACTAAATACCAGATATTTCCACATGATATTAACCTACTTAGATCGCAGGATATGTCCATCTAATATATTCATATGCAAGAGTTCTAGTGTTCTTTACAAGCAAAATATAAAACATCTTAGGAGTACAGGTGAAAATTTAATACTCATAATCTTTTCCTGTCTATGACATGACTTACTGTAAAACTACTTTCTTTTTTAAGATAGAATTGGAGATACCATATACATTAGCATTGTCTATGAACAAATAATGAAACCCTGTGTTTATATAGCACTTCAAAGTTTACAAGGCATGTTTACAAACATTCTCTCTCTGGTTTAGATCTCTCTCGCGTGCTCTCTCTTGCTCTCTCGCTCTCTCACTCTCACTCTCGCTCTCTTTCACACACACATACACACACACACACACACACACTGTTGAACAAATACTGTAGAAAGTCAACTCTATTTAGCAATGATACTTCACTCACATGAAAATTGAAAGCTTTCTTGCAATCTGAAGTACTTGCCATACTTGTAAATTAAACACCCCCAAAGCTTTTTAAAACTGGTTATTTGCTGGCAAACGGAATTCAAACGGATTGATTTTCTGTCAAGTAATATTAGCATCCCAGAGCTAAATATTAGCAGGAATCTCAATCTATTGCTCACGCTAGATAAAACAAGTTCTCATACCCTCATTTTCTCAGACTAATGAATAAAAACACATCTAGAAAATAAGCTTTTGAGGAAAATGACAATTTACACATACAGCACTTAATGCAGAATCACATCTTCATAGCTTGTGTAATAACTCAATACCAAAGAGCACAGTATCAGAAAGTTTTTCATGTAAATGACTGCCAACATTTGTTGTTTCTTAGACATCTGTAATATAGCTATCAAAACTTTATTAATGGTTCTCTCTAAATCAAGTCAGATAACATTACAGAGCCATATCGTTTTTCTACTTATGCTTATTCGTAGCATTACTTTACTATGAAAGTAAACACAATTTCATACATGAATTTAGATACTATTTAATACCAATACTCAATTATTTTCTCTTGGCAGTTCTAAATTCCTTTAAAATAGAATTGAAATATAAATTTGAGGGCCAGCGCTGTGGCGCAGCCGGTTAACGCCCTGGCCTAAAGTGTCGGCATCGCATATGGATGCCAGTTCAAGACCAGGCTGCTCCATTTCTGATCCAGCTCTCTGCTATGGCCTGGGAAAGCAGTAGAAGATGGCCCAAGTCCTTGGGCCCCTGCACCCATGTGGGAGACCCAGAAGAAGCTCCTGGCTCCTGGCTTTGGATTCGCATAGCTCCAGCCATTGCAGCCACCTGGGGAGTGAACCAGCAGATGGAAAACTTCTCTCTGTCTCTCCCTCTCTGCTTCTCCTATCTCTGGGTAACTCTTTCAAATAAATACATACATCTTTAAAAAAAAAGAAATATAAATTTGAAAATACATTTAAAATTATACTTAATGTCTACCAGCACAAGCTGAATAAGCAATATTTTGTATGGCTGTAGAAGATAAAGTGTCCCAACATTCTGGGAGAGAACCTAACACATATCAGATAACTTTAATAGGGCCGGCGCTGCAGCACAGCAGATTAAAGCCCTGACCTGAGGTGCCGGCATCCCATGTGGGCACCAGTTCTAGTCTCGGCTGCTCCTCTTCCCATCCAGCTCTCTGCTATGGCCTGGGAAAGTGGTAGAAGATGGCCCAAGTCCTCGGGTCCCTGCACCCATGTGGGAGCTCCTGGCTCCTTACTCCAGGCTCCTGGCTTTGGTGCAGCTCCAGCCATTGCAGCCACCTGGGGAGTGAACCAGCAGATGGAAGACCTCCCTCTGTTTCTACCTCTCTCTATAACCCTGTCTTTCAAATAAATAAAATAAATCTTAAAAAAAAAAAAAAACAGATAACTTTAAAATATCCATATCCTTTCATTAGGGCTGGTAACACAACTCCTGGAAAACTACTCTAAAAAATAATTTGATAAGAGAATATAAGAATTACACTAAATATGAGGATTCTTCAAAAAGATCATGGGAAATGCATATTATGAGAAAACTACACAAGGATTTCAAAATTTTTTTTAACAAAATGATCCTTTCATCCTTTTTTATCATATCTTTTCCAAAAACTTTTTGCAGTACCCTTGGACTATGATATTATTTATAACAGCTTAAAACTAGGGGAAGATTAAATTTATAACACTGTAGAAATGATTAAGTGAATGATGGCACACCCATGGAGACGCCAAAAGTATACTTTTAAAGAATTTGTAATGACATGGAAAAGAGGTATTCCATAGAGCTAAATGAAAAAAAGCAAGATATTAAACTGTATTTATATAATGATTCCAAATGTGCAAAATATTAATAGTTATTATTGCAAGATGATGGAATTCATTGTGGAAGACTTTTTTTCTTCCTTACATTTTAAGTATTCTGAGTCCTTTAGCTAGTGTGTATGTTTTTATGAGAAAAAAATATTATATGATAAATGAATTTTTAAACACTCAGTGACTTTCACTAAGCTACCTTGTCCTGACACTGAGGTAGTAAGAGGCCTGAACTTGAGCTGGGGTCACTGAGCTCTGACTCAGCTCTGTCCCTGGCCAGTGACCATGACTGTCACTACTCACTGGCTATGGAGTTAGTGGGATGGACCAAATGCCTTCTTAGATCCCTTTAACCATGCTACTATATTATTCTGTAATTTACTAGGTATCACTTTCCCACTTATGAGCATTCTTTAGCAGCATTTCTATTATCTGCAATTCAACTCCTTTCTGCATGTTCAAGACAGGCACTCAAGCACTTTGTGCTTACACAGAAGGCCTTCTGAATTCTGTGACCACATTAATATCCTCACTGACACCCTGCCATACCAGAATCATCTCACAGGACATTCATTTGACAAACAGCTTGTTGATTAGCTCAGAGCACCCTCAGAAAGCACAACGTCTAGCAAGGGATTTAGACTCCATCTGATTAAAGGTAATGAAGTGAGACTAGTAACTCCTTTTTATTTGCAGAGTTGGCCCTGTGATATCTTGCTAATCAGTTCCACATTTATATCTCTCAGGATCTTAGTATCTTAAGAATATTCCTGGGGGAGAGTACTGTGGCATAGCAGGTAAAGCCACTGCCTGCAGTGCCGGCACCCAATATGGGTGCCAGTTCAAATCCCAGCTGCTCCACTTCCGGTCCAGCTCTCTGCTATGGCCTGGAAAAGCAGTGGAAGATGGCCCAATTGGGCCCCTGCACCTGCGTGGGAAGACCCAGAGGAAGCTCCTGGCTCCTGGCTTCAGATCTTCGCAGCTCCAGCTGTTGCGGCCAATTGAGGAGTGAACTAGCAAATGAAAGACCTCTCTCTCTCTGCCTCACTTTCTGTGTAACTGTGACTTTCAAAAAATAAATCTTAATGAATAAATAAATAAATTCTAAAAAAAGAGTATTCCTAGCTGAATAGAGAGTATTTTCTCAACATACAAATGGGGGGAGGGGTGTAGGAGATTTTCCAATAATTAATTTAAAAAGTGAATGAATGAAAGGAAAAATAAAATTCATAGCATTCTCTCTCTCTTTCCCGTTTTCCCTGCCGTCCCTCTCCACCCCTCCTTGCCCTTGGACATCATCAGCGTGTGACCAACTGGCTCTCGGTGTGGCTGCTCTCTTTGGTCCATCCCATAGTTCCTCCGTCAGTGCTGTACAGTCCATTTGCAATGCTCTCGAAGTTCCACACATACAGACCCGCTGGAAACATCCCTCGGTGGACAATAAAGACTTGTTTTACATCAACCTGTACCCAGATTATGCAGCTATCAGCAGGGCCGTCCTGGATTTGGTCCTTTATTACAACTGGAAAACAGTGACGGTGGTGTATGAAGACAGCACAGGTATGGGACTCACACAACACTAAGCCTGGCCATCTCTGATCTGAGCAAAGGCAGCCAAAGTGTTCTAATAGGCATTAAGCTTGTCAGAGGAAGTACATTAGAATGCTTTCTTTTATGAAATTAATTGAGTATTCTAAAATAATTTAGGAACACCACATGGTGCTAGCTCAAATTCCTTTTGATTTATTAGTATTTTCTGATAAACCTTTCAGCATCAAAAATAAGTTTTTTTTAAAAAAATACCATCTTATTAATTTATCTTGTAATGCAGATACAATATTAAAATGTAATTTCATTTAATCCAGTTCTAATAAGATTGCAACCACATTTGAAAATGACCACAATGTTCTGATTTGATCAGAAGCTTTGTGAGTGTCTAGAAAAGTTCTAAAGTGGGTTAGCAAAGAGGAATTCAGTTAGAGGTCATACCAATAAACTGAACCATTTCATGGGAAAGGGTGATGAGCCCTTTTCGAAGGCGTGCATTGTTCCATCTGCTTGTTTTAGGATGCAAGAGGGAATAAGTGTGCTCAGTGTCTGGCCCTGGCTGGGCGCTTTCCTGACCCGCCCTGTTTGCACGTTCTTTTGTTGGCACCTTTTACTCTAGGTCTGCTGGCATTTCAGGATTTGTCAGAATTCAAGCTTCTTGTTATTTAAAGCCAGTAAGTGACTACATAATAAAAGCAAAATTCTTCTAATTCAGAGCTCCCTCCAATGCAGCCATTTTTCATCATCATTAATTCAGACACTACTTTCCCCCACAGCATAAACTCTCACATCTGCTAAGATGAAGACCCCATAGCATCTTCTCTGCCCCTCTCTTGGAATCCAGTTTTTTGTAACTCCTCAGAAGTACTCACTTCCCTTCCTAAGATCCTCCATGCAACCTCATGGTAGTGAACTCTCTTATTCCCCAGGACCACACACATATGTTATATCTTCTTTAAGATGTTCTGAGACCACCAGCAGTTTCAATATCACGTTGTACACATATTTTATTTTAATGGTCTGTACACATACAAGGGTACTTTTAAAAGTTCACATAAAACAAATTAAAAGTTGATTTGATACCAAAAATTTTATTTCATGCATACTAAGGGTATCTAAAATGTTCATGGAAAATTTGTGCTATGAAAAAAACTACATATGGATTTCAAATTTTTGGAACCAAAATAAACTTCCTTTTAAATTTGAATTTCCATGAGCTTTTGGAAATACCCTGTCACCATTAGACTAGAGATGTCTGAAAATTTGAATTTCATTTTATTTGTGGTAAAAGTCTGCTACCTCTCACAGGCATGGCATCTAGGAAAGAGTTTAGTAATCCTAAGTAAAAGGGATAATATCATCAAACATTTGGATATTTTTCTCCAAAAATTGAAATACTGTTTCCTTTTATCTACACTCATGCATTTGGTAATAATACTAATGAAATTACCAATGACAGTAAAAGGAAACACTTTCTGAAATTTTATTACCATTTCTTTTTTCACTAACTCCTTTTCAGCAATCATAAGCATTAGTATTCCCCAGAGGATGAATAGTGTGCCTCCTTGATTTGGCATTACTGTCATATAAAAGTGGCTATTATGGTTAGAAATATACATTAATGTATTTCCTTATGCCTCATCTCATTCTAGAAAGAAATGAAGGTGATAATGTTACAGATATGGTTGGAAGTTGAAGCTTGGCACTTCCAAATCCTCTTCTCTTCCTTAAATTAAAGGAACTTGTGGCCTCCTTCCCAAGGGAGGCTAAAAATGGAGTTTTCCTGAGGCAAACAGGCCTTGACATCTGCTGGGATTATCTCCCAGGGAGGCAGTCCAACTGCTGACAGCATTGCCACTTAGTCTAGGACAGCCGTCCTCACCACAAGAAAAATTCAGGTGAGAGATAGAGATCCTAAGCAAGCTAGGGAACTATAATGAAGGAATACACCTGACAGGCCAATGGGCGGCTCAGCAGGAAGCTGTGTCTAGACTGGGGTTGTGTGGGTATAGTGTAAATTTATTCCTTCCATTTCATCACATTTCTTTCCACCGCTGAATATTGCTTGGTGGAAAACTTCCTGGGAGTGAGATCCCCTGGGAGTTACTGGGCAGAAAGGTTCCGAGTGCCAGACCTCAGACCTTCTTACAGTGTTGCCTGCTGGGACCCCTGATCCTCAAGTGTCAGGTTACTTTGTGTTTCCAAGATGTCTAGGCCCCTTCCCTCATTTAACTGCTCTATTTTTTTCTTCTCATACAGGTAGGCTAATGTCTGTCTTCCTGACTAACAGTAGGTGATTAGACACATATAATTTATAAATATTATATTCAATACAGTCCTACTGGGAAGGATAAGCCACTGGCAGTCATAGTTTTAGAGCTTGATCTGCTTTCTGTGAAATAAGAAAACATATTATCAACTGAACTCCAGAAACATATTTATTTAAAGAGCCTTAAAGATGAATATGATATAGAAAACATAAGGGTGGTTAATCTTCCATGTTGTCTATCTTTGACTAATAGTGAGTGTCATATCTAACACAATTTCTCATGATGTTCTTCCTACTATAGTATAACCTCTTACTATTTCTACCATCTCTATCAAAGCAGGACTATCTACAAGGGAAATAAGTCAGTGAATGATATTGAGATGCCTGGATTTAGTTTACTAATGATAGGTCTCAAACTGTATTCAGATGAAATGCAATTAAGTTGCTATCTAACCTTCTTCTGATGTCAGGTGACTCACATATACGTGATGGCCATTTGATACAGCAGAAAAATCAAACTATCATTTCTAAAAATATTCACTAACTTGAAATGACTTTTTCACCCTATTAAATTCACCTGAGCTTAGCAGCTGAATAAATACTCGTTGAAACTGAAAATCCAAAATGAGTTTGTACAATGTCGATTAAGTTAGAGATGATTCATGTTAAAATAAATTTGCCCAAAACAACATTAAAAGTGTAAATGAATAATCAATTGAATCATTAAATTGGATCCCAGAGAGTAAATAGGTCAACTGAGATCAATAAAAACAGACATCTTGTGACTCTGAGTGGGTTTAATACTGCTTGTCTCAGGCTTCTTGGTTACAGAAATTATCAAACTACTAAAAAGGGGAAACTTAGCAAACCTGAAGGAAAAGACAAGACTTAGGTGTGCTCAGCACCCACTTCCATGCCAGAATTAAGTATCTATTAAACAGCACTTTATTAGGATTTGTTTGGGAGTTTGTTAAATAGCCTGAAGCCAGCACAGATGTCGTGGGACCAAATGGCCCATTACTGCCATTGAAGTCAATGGGAGCAGTGTGCATGTCTCTAAGGACAAAATTCAATTCACTAAATACTAGCAGGAAAGATCCCATCCTCTAGAAGTTAAAATGTAAAAAGACTCTAGAGAACTCTTAGGCAGAGTAGAGCTTTGTCTCGGCTCATCTCTTCTCTCTCCTTCCTGAATATTTTTCCCATCCGTCACCTGCCTGTCTCTGATTCCCACAACCAGAGGTGACCCTAGGCAAAGAGAAATTGCTGCCCATTGTATATTCCCTCTGCTTCATTAGACCCCTGGTGGAAGCCTGGCTTCTATCCCGCCACACGCATCAAAAAGTGCTGAGACGTGAGCACCAAATGCAATGTGGATTAAATTCAGCAGTGCCTACTTTCCCAAGGCCAATCTCAGTGAAATGCAGCTACAGTCATTTCTGTAGAACAAGATCAGCAAACTTTTTCTAAAGAGCCAAATACGGTATAATTTAGGCTTTTTAGCCATGTGAAATACTTACACTTTGCCAAGGTATCAAGAAAACAGCCATAGACAATATGTAAATGAATGGGTATGATGTATTCTAATGAAGCTTATAAAATATGAACCATACAAAAGAATGTATTAAGCCAGATTTGGCCTGTAGGTTGTATTTCAAAAGAAGGCAAGAGGCAGGCAGGAGAGAAGGCTAGAGGGCAGGAAGGAAACTTAGCTAATATTTGTAATTTTGTGAAATCCAGGGCTTATCCACACATAAGAAATGGGTTGTGCTCCCATTTCATGACTCCTCAATCATTATGTTGTCTGGGTTCTCACACTTCTTCCCTCTTCCTCACCTGTCCTTCCCACCTTTCTCCTCTTGCTTAGCCTTTGATCTCATTCCCTATGGGCTTTGCCAGGTGTCATCCTGGTTCATGAGATAAACAGACTTTCAGAGAGTATTTGCAGAAGGGTCACAGTTGGCACTGGTATAACAAAAGACAGGTTAGCAGGAGAAAAGAATAACAGAGTTATTTACTCAAAGTTTTACGTAACATAAGAGATAAAGTAGAAGACCCAAAGACCCAGGAGAAACTGCCCCTTTTTCTGCTTAGCTCAGTAAAAAATGGAAAGCTGTGCGGAGATATAATTGAACAAAAGGCTATGACTGAGGGTGAAACTCAACAAGGCCTGTCCACATTCTTCCTGGTTTCTCTGTATACTATTCCTTCCTCTTAGGTATGAGGCAGCTTCTGGAATTCAAGCCTTCAAGGCAGGCAGGAGAAAGGAGTGATCTTTTTTGGTTTTCTGCCTTTCTTTGGAGGACAGAAAGTTCTAGAGTCCATGCCCTGCCTTGGACAAGAGGAATTCTTGTTTCTATAACTTTAGCAGAGAAAGAAGAGCAGGATACAGGAGGGTGGAAGAAGATCAGGAAAACCTTGCTTCTGAGTCCCTTGCAATCTCCTTCGGTTCACACTATTCAGCGTGCTAAGGGACCGACCATACTTTAAGATCTTGTGTTTTGAGCCCCAGCTGTGTTAATAATGACTTAAAATGTTGCCTTTTACTTTAAAGTGATCACAGCACATTTTAAGGTTGGCTTCCTAAAAGGCAATGAAAGTATGGACACGATATGCCAGAGAGGGTGGGATTTTGAAGTGTTCAGTTACACTCAGTTAAGCAACTACCTACACAATCAGCAAAGGGAGTTGAGTCCAGATAAGAAAGTGCTAATCCAATTTCATTGGCAAAATGTGTGAAAAAGAACCTTTTAGATAGTCTGGTATCCTAAAGTCTACAACCACCCCAATACTTCTAATACTTACTTCATTACAAATATGTGAACATTGAAAACATTCATATACAGACTATGTTAGTAAGACTGAAATAACTAAATTTTTTATTAGAGACATACAAGGTAGATGGTGTGGCTACTGTTGGCAAATGTCTGAAGGGCCATGCAAGGAATGAAGTTTTGGCTAAATCTCCCGGGATTTCACAAGCAACAGAGGGCAGAGGATTGAAGGAGACAGCTTTGGCATCAATGAAAGGCTAGAGCTCTCAGGGGATGGAAAGTTGTTTCTTCACAAAGAACTTGACAAAGGACTTACCTCCTTGGTTCTGTCAAAGTCCAAGCCCAGATTACAGGACTGTCCATCACAGAAAGGTCCTGCTGAGGATTCTTATACTACCTGAGAGGTTGCCCTGGATAGTGCATGAATTCATTTCCAATTCAAACTCCCATTGTACTGTAGCATTTGGGTGCCACCCTGTGGGATCACACATTTGTTTTACTGAGTAATGCTGTCATTCTGTCTGTCCACAAAAATTTATTGAGCACTTACCGTGTTCTAGTCATTATTCTAAAGATTTGGAATATATTAGTCAATAAAACAAACAGAAAACTCAGACCTCAAAGAAAGTGGTTCTGTGGGAATAAAGAATAAACCATGACTCATGACATAAAAAATGAATTATATGTTTAAAAGATAATAATGCTATAGAAGAAAGAAAAAGTAGAGCAGGGTGAAGGGAATCTGGAAGTCAGAAGCACAATTTGCAGAGTTAAAGGTCATATCACATTGCAAAGATGAGAGTTGAGCCAAGACTTATGAACTAAGGAAGTGAGCCATGTGGTACTTGGAAGAAGGTTCCAAGCAGAGACAAGAGCTAATGTCTAAGGCTAATGTCTCATACTATGCCTAGTATGAGAGTACTTCAAAAAGTTTGTGGAGAATTGTATTAAAAGTTGTTTGTGAGTATTTTGCTGTAAAAAATGAAATCTATGCATAGTTTTTTTTTCACAGTAAGCATTTTTCATAAACTTTTTGAGGTCCCTCTTATGGATGGGTTTCAAAATCTTTTGAAGCAAGGTAAACTTTTCTTTTAATTCTACCGACGAAACCAGTGTGGTTGGATCAGAGTGAAGTGGGAAGGGTCTTAGGAAAAGAGGTCAGAGAGGAGAGCTTTGGAGACTACTCTACAAAGTTTTGTGTCTGAAATTGTAAGCTATGGAGAGTTTTGAGCAGGATCAGCTTTATAATATCAAAGGATCACTCTGGCTTCTGCACTGATCAGACATGCAGAAACACAAGTATCTGCTAAGTGGATCCTACAGAAACCAAAGAAGAGATGCTGATGACAAAAGCAGTAGAGGAGTAAGAAATAATGATTACGGAATGCAGAGCTGAATGCTAAGCTAGCATAACATCCCAACGAATACTGAAATTAATTCCCCACCTGTCAGTTTTGGCTATGTGCTTATGGTCCTCTTTGCCTCTAATTGCATGGTGACAGTGATGTATCCTTGAATGATTGGTTAAGACTTGTAGGATCTTTGAAAAAAAAAAACCTGTAAATGTCATGGATATTTACAACTTCTTTGGACTTTATCTATTAATTTGATGATCATTGGGTAAATAGCACTAACTCTGCAAATGATATGTATTCTTATTTAAGTAACACAATTATCTCATAAATTTGGGACTTCTGCAGTCCCAGAAATTTGCTTCAGGGGAATGGTCTATTCAGTAGGGAAGGGAGTAGGCATATTTTCTCTTCCTGAAAACTCTTCTAAAATACCAACATTTTTCCCACTGTTACAATTGAGTCATATGTCAAGAAAAACATGAAGAACCCTTTGAAATAAGACAAATACTAAATTTATTTTTCTAAATGGTGAATAAGAACAGGAAGACCATATTGCAGTATAGAAAAATATTGATGTCATGATGAGGTGAGGCAGATTGTGGTTTAATTCACACCTGTGGATTAAAGAATGAAAAATGATAAAAAAAGATTGGGAAAGAAAAATGTTGAGAGGCAAAGATGACCCTCTAGCCTGAACCAAAGGATAGAGTTGCCATCACCTGAACTGAAGAAGGTCCTAACTGGAGCTCATTTAGGGGAATGGGGATATCAAGAATTAAGATATGACTATGTTAAGTGTGAATTTACATATTTATTAGAAATACAAATGAGAAAGCAGTTATAACATATGAGTCTGGAGTTCAGTATGATGCTCTGAATGGGAGATAACAAGTTGGTATCCTCAGCATAGAGATGGGACTGGATGAGTCCATCATGAACATGAGTCCCAGACAGATGCCTGTAGCTCTGAACTAATAACACATGGCCCTTGAGAGGTTCCTTTGTTGATTTGGTGGTTTTTCTTTTTATCTACGGTTGCCTTGGGTCCTTTTTCTCAATATTTCATAGCTGTGAGATGAAAAGTTATTAGTCTTCACTCCAATCATAGTCTCAAAGCTTTACAGTAGAGAAAAGTTTAAAATAGATTAAGATACATAAAAATGTTAGTGATTGAAAGAAACAGTAAATCCTGGGAGAAAACATGAGAGGAATGATAACCATAAAAATAAAACTAAGTAAATTTTTGAGTGTTGACTATGGGCCAAGTACTTCCCTAAATACTTTAGATAATTAACTCATTTCATGTGTTCAATCCTCCTATGAATAAGTCAAATAGCTTCTGTTATAGGTGTGTTTAAATAATGACTTAGTATTTTTACATCTATGATATTTCCTTCCATTTTCTATAGAAAATACAGAAAAACCATACTGTCAGAAATAACAATATTGATAGAAAACTAAAAGCTGGACTTCAAGAAGATTAACATTTTGCCATGGGTAACCAAGGCAAAATGAAAGACGTTCATTACACATTCACTGCTGAATAAAAGAATAAGTGAATCTTTTGACCTTCAGCAATCATGCTTACCACACTATGTTGCTGCAACCACTAGTGCTATGCATTGTTCCTCAATTCAACCTGTATTAGCCAGGGGATGGGAAGTCTTGGGCACTCAGTACCAACAAGTCAACAGATTATGATTCCTTTTTCTTTCCCCCATCCTCAATCTTCGCTACCTTTTCTATCCACCGTTTCAGTCCTCTGGCCTCTTCTTAAAATTTGACACTACTGAAGATTTCCCAATTCTGCTCAGGAAACTAATCTTCAGGTGTTCCATGTCAGCCATATTATTTTTAGTTATCATTAATATTAGCCAGAATTCAGAATCAAAATACACTGGTGGAACTAAATCACATCACAGTTAATCTCACATATTTTGGCGAGGTTTTTCTGTGAGGTCCTTTGTGATCAAGGGACACAGTAGGAAATGTCTCTTACAGAAGAACTCCAACTAGCTTTTTTTGTTCCACTTTTGAAAACTCATATGTGTGAAGATCTGCACTTTAAGGTACCTTATTTCCCTGGGTAATTCACTCACTTACCTATTTCCATTTCTCAGTTCTTACTTTTCTTCCCTTGTCAAGGATACACACTTTTATGCATAGATCCCCTTAACAATCCTATTAGATTTAGATATATTACTATACCAACAAGTTTGTGAAATGCCATTTTCCATGTTTCTAAGTTCAAATGAAGAGGAAATTAACATTTTAAATGTTCAATCTGATCTTTGGGTCCCAATGGTATATTACATTCGTTTTCATGCCTTGAACCCACTTGTGTGATTTAATGAACAGGGAATTGGATTAAGACTCAAGAAAACCTGCGTATTTTCTTTTGAACCGAGACTCATTAAACATAACTAAAGCTATTCAAGAATGGGTTTGACTGCAATGTAAAGTGGAGAATGTCTCAAATTGAGAGGTGTTCAGCAGCAGCTCTGTAGAGGGGATTTGTGCATCAAGTAACAGTTTGACCTTCAAGGTGCCTTCCAATTCCTGGCATCTGTGTCTCATTTTCAGGGCCAATCCAAACAATTAACCTCACTGTGCCTGGCTCTTCTCATTGTAAAATAGCACGAACACCTATCCACCCCAGAGGTACATTCTAGGGCTTACTGGGCTATTTCTAAGGCATGTAGAATACTTCATAAAAAGGAACAATGTAAATAGCAAAGCTTATTATTATTTAAGGAAAAGGCATGGGAAATTGGAAACATCTACTGGGAATAGCACAGATTTTTTTTCCTCTCCCATGTGTTTCACCTGTTGCCCTAGTCACTCGATGTGCGTGCAAATCAGCATTTTTCTGCATCATAGAATTATAGTTCTACTCCCCAAAATTGGTTGGAGGAGTTGCCATAGAATACTATTATGCAACAAGACATCAGAGTGGTGGAAGAAAACAGGTGTTTATTACAAAGCACAGAGCAAAGAACCAGATAGCTATCATTTAATTCTTAGGCTCCCCTAGGGATTAAAGGCAGTAAATCTTATGGTTTGAGGTTGGGGGTGAGCAGTGCATAATCATCTTATAGGTAGGCCTCTGGCTTATCCACAGTGCATGTGACCTTCCTTTGATAGGTCAGTGATAGGAACCAGTGTGTTTTCACCCCATTGACAAAGATGGGCTCTGGTCTGTCTGGGTCTAAGGGTAGAGTGGGTATCACTTCATTCAATCAGGGTCTAGGAGTTTCTACAAATGTCTCAGAATAGAGGCTAGAATTGAGATTATCCATGTTAAATGTAGGGGCAATTCGAGTCGTCATGATTCAGAGTTTTTGCTCTGTCTTTACCCTTGTTAGTCTTTACAGAGAAACTGCAAACTAGGGAAGAAATTCTCTGGCTTGGTAAGTCTACATCAAAGACATTAGGGATAAAGGCTCTGCTTCAATAGCATTTGTCTGAACATACTGAGTAGATATGTAGCCAAAGCAAATGTTTAGAATGGGCCACTAAGAAATTTTTAAACATATCTCCATATGTGGAATCTACTTCAAACTAAACCAATTTCTTTCTCTAAAAATCCTTTAAAGCCAAAGGCACATTTCCAGTTGTGTTCCTAGGGGTGAGAGCAGGGGGAAGAAGTTCTTATTACATGATTTTACATCTATATATTTTGTCTTTTTATTTAGAATGATTTTAACTTACATAAAAGTTGCCAAAATATACAATAAACTCCTGCACACATTCATCTACATTCAGCAATTGTTATCCTTTAGTCACAATTGTTTTAATCAGTTACCATTCTCCAAATACAAAACAATATCAACAATAGTAAGTAGCGGCACTGCTAAAATTTTTGAAAGTAAGTTGCAGGCATTGTAACCTTTTTACCCATAAATACACTAGTGTACACTTCCTAAGAACAGGAACCTTCCTCATAATAACCAGATTACAATTATTAAACATAAGGAATTTAACAATAATACAACAACTGCTATCTAATATGGAGTAACATATAGATGAGGAATCTTCAAAGAGTTCATAGAATGCATATATGAAAAAATTTTGCATGAATTTCAAAAACTTTTCATACTAAAATAAATTTATCGTTTAATTCAATTTTCATGAACTTTTGGAAACTCCTCGTGTGTGAATTCCAGCTTTGCTGACTGTCTCGTGATTACTCCTTGGCTTTAGTTGTTAACTCCCTGTAGTCTCCCTGGGTCAGAAAAACTCACCGTTCCTTTGTCATCCATGGCACTGACATTTTTGTAGTGTTGAGAACAGCTTAATGTAGAATATCCCTCAATTGGCTTTGTCTGGTTGTCTCCTTATCAGTATGTTAATTTTAAAGGCCCTCCACCTGAGTGGGCTAGAAAAGCATCACATGGCTAGCTTGCAGGCAACTCACCATTTTTGGCAACTGGAGCGCTGGCAGGGCTTGGCAGTCAGGTGAACTTCCGCACAGGAGAATGTGTGCAAAGGTAGGTGTGTTGAAATCAATTTCTCAGTGTCCTTTCCTGAAGCAATTATTTGTTTAGCAAATATTTTTTACTGATTCATTACAAGGAATGTAATGAAATGTAAATGATTGATAGATTGCTGCAAAATGCAAATATAAGAGAAAGTTTTCTTTAAATTTTGTCTCCAGTGAACTAAAAAAGCCTTTTGAATTGTAAATTCTACATTGTTTGCTAATGAAGACAGAAAGGACAGTGAGAGAGAGAGAGAGAGACAGAGAGAAAGGTCTTCCTTTGCCATTGGTTCACCCTCCAATGGCCGCCGCGGCTGGCGGGCTGCGGCCGGCACACCGCGCTGATCCGAAGGCAGGAGCCAGGTGCTTCTCCTGGTCTCCCATGGGGTGCAGGGCCCAAGCACTTGGGCCATCCTCCACTGCACTCCCTGGCCACAGCAGAGAGCTGGCCTGGAAGGGGGGCAACCGGGAAAGAATCCGGCGCCCCGACCGGGACTAGAACCCGGTGTGCTGGCGCTGCTAGGGGGAGGATTAGCCTATTGAGCCGCGGCGCCGGCCAGAAAGGCTTTTCTTAAGCAAACAATTGCTTCCAGAAGAGAAATACAAACTTCACTGTCCCTTGCTCATTGTTGGCACAACCTGGGAATGTAATCTTTAAATTATTGGATCCTTCCCTCTTTCTGAGGACATTCACTGTACACTGGCACAGTGATGAAAGGGCTTAATAGTAAGATTTGCACAAAGATAAATTTTTTCCAATTAGAAATTGGTCTTCTGTAGTGAGTTGTTCTTTTTTGTCTCTTGGTATTAGGACATAATCTTTCATGAAACAATTGTGAAGGTGTATATTGGTTTTTATTTAGAAGAGGCAGGAAGAGCGTTTATTAATGATCTCATGTGCTAAATAAAGGTTTACTGCTTTATGCTGATTCAGAGTTTTCTTTCCCTATTTAATTATGCCATTATTGATTAACATAGTTATTCAGTCATCTAGTTAGTTCATTCAAAATCAAGAGACACCATTGATTTGGTAGACACAACCCTAAATTTGGGATCCTAAGGCAGACTTGGCTTTAAATCCTAGATCTGCTATTATTACCTACCCAACCTTGAGCAAGTTACTCCAGCCACCAGCAGCCTCCATGAGACTAAATGATAACTGCTGCTCCCACTTGAGAGTGGGTGAGTTGAAATCCCGCTTTGGGCTACAAAAAGCTTGGGGCCAGAAATGTTCATTTTGTATCTGCAGGGCTTTCCTTGGGGCTTGAGATCTTATGAATATCCAGAAAGTGCTTTCCCATAAAAATAAATGAATGAGGCAAGATAGCGTATGTCATCTTTAAATGCCATGAATGTGTGTTAAGTCATCACGCAGGAAGAGGCACTTCAAAATTGACATTGTATTCAGCAAAGAACAAAAGAGCAGTTCTTGCAGCATAGGAAATGCACTTTTAAAATGTTTTCTCCCATTTTATTTAAAGCCCACATTGAGTTCTCCCTTGTGGCATGCTAAAGTTAAAAAAAAAAATAGTAATGGGTGATTACAAAGCAGGAGGGTGAAGAAGACGGGAGACAGACTCAGGCAGCCTAGGGAGAAAAGAAAGGAAAATGAGTCTTGCACTCTATTTTCCCCTCTTCTCATCAAACAATCCCAAGCTATGTCTCAAAACCAGTAACTTTTATTTATAAGACAAGATGACAAAATAGAAACATTGGCATTAGATTCACAAACAATTTTAATCAGTGGCCCCTGGCAACTATCTTTGTAGCACTGTTACTTCATCGCTCTGGGCCCTTGTTTCTCCAATAACAATAAAGCTAACAATGCTTACATCATAATTATTGTAAGCATTAACAAATACAACAAATGTCAAATATAAGAGTCAAAGTGCTCATTCTTTTTCCATTTTCTGTACTTAGTGGTGGTGCCAAGACTCTGGAAGAAGGCAAATGGCTCATGGAAGCCTTCACGCACACTGACTAGAAAAGGAGTAAGCATCATGGAGGCTGCTATCTAACAACTTCAGTTTTGGTTTAAAGGAAAAAAAAAAAGGTTGATGGGCAGTATTTAGCCTAGTGATCAAAATGCAGGTTAAGATCCCCCTCCCCCCCAACACACACACTGGAGTGCCTGAGCTCAGTTCCTGGCTACTGCTCTTTGATGCAGCTTCCTGTTAATACAGACCCTGGAAGGCAGCAGTAGGACTCAAGAAACTTGCTCTTGTCATCCCAGTGAAAGACCAAGATTGCATTCAGGCTGTGAGCATTGGCTCCAGCCCAGCCCCCCATGCATTTAGGGGGTGAACCAGTTTTGGGGAACTCTGTTTATCTGTCTTTTCTATTTCACAGCATCTCAAATAGACATCATTTTAAAAAAGAAAAATAAAGGTTAAATATTTTCATGATTCTACAAATGATGTCCCCATGCCCTGACACCTTTCCATTTATCTCCAAAAAGAGGCATTGTTACAAATTTGCAGTTCATCCAAACCAAACATATCTATGGATGTTATGAAAATTTTTCCTTATTTAAGCAAAAAAAAGTAGTTTCTTAGAATTTAAAAAATAAATAAATCAAGAAAAAGAAATAAATGCATCCAGTCTGGATGTGGCTGAAATCCATACTGTATTTTGCACAGTGCATACCAGAATTTCCATTTGAACACTCATAAAACATAATATGCCCTATTGATTACTTGAAGCTGATAAATATCAAAGACACAGAACTGCATGCTAAAAATAAATAAATATGTCAATTTTCCAATGTGATGGGAGTCTCTGAGTGATGTAGCAAGCACCAGTTAATGTTAGGAGAAATATGATGGCATTTTTATATGGAGATTCACTTTGCATTAGTAAGACATTTCTATTAGAGAATGCCACAACTTAGTAGATCCACTTCTGTAGTAAATCAACGTTCTCCTTCAAGTTAGTCAATTGTATGCACTTTGTTTCAATTATCAACAGAGAATTTTTAAAGAGTTTTATTTCTCCTTTTATCACAATCTCTGGAAGTTAGAAAGTTTTCTTGTTTTATTCAAGTAAGAACTTTCTAATGCAACATTCAGACATATTTACCAGAGAATTGAATGAACCATTTTACAAGTCGTTGATTTAGTAGAAAAGATAAGACTGCAAAAGGAACCCATCTAATGTGCTAGGAAACAGTATTGTAGATGAGGGCACTTCAAGCAGTCCATGGTAAAAAAAAATGGAATTAAAGGCCGGCGGCACGGCTCACTAGGCTAATCCTCCACCTTGTGGCGCTGGCACACGGGTTCTAGTCCCGGTCGGGACGCAGGATTCTGTCCCGGTTGCCCCTCTTCCAGGCCAGCTCTCTGCTATGGCCCGGGAGTGCAGTGGAGGATGGCCCAAGTACTTGGGCCCTGCACCCCATGGGAGACCAGGATAAGTACCTGGCTCCTGCCATCGGATCAGCACAATGCGCTGGTTGCAGCGTGCCGGCCACGGTGGCCATTGGAGGGTGAACCAACGGCAAAAGGAAGACCTTCCTCTCTGTCTCTCTCTCTCTCTCACTGTCCACTCTGCCTGTCAAAAAAATTTAAAAAATAAATAAATAAATAAAAAAGGAATTAAAAGGTAAATTTATTTTAATGCCAAAAGTTTCTGAAATTCATGCATAATTTTTCATAATATATGTCACTCCCCCTCTTCGCGGAGGAACGACATAGGACCCTGCGCTGTTCTTTTGTCTGCTCAGCCCTTCCCGGGTTTGCTGCTGGTCCTTCCCGGGTTGGCTGCCAACCCCTCCACCTCCGTGGAGGGGCGGCTCCCCCTGCCACTTTCCCCGCTTCCGCGGAGGAGTGGCACACCGCCGGTCGGCTCTCTCGGGGGCTGCTCAGATGTTATCCGGATGTTCCTGGTGCATGTTGTCTCTCTCCTCCTTTATAGTCCTCTTCCACCAATCCCAACTCTGCTACCCACACGCCGAGCACGCTGCTCTCCTCCAATCAGGAGCAGCTCCTGCAGTTTATTGGTCAAACTGGAGGCAGCTGTGTAGAAGCTGTTTACTCCTCTCCCAGCGCCATATTGTGGGAGAGCAGATGCATAGAATAAGTCTTAATTCGAGTGACTTAGTCTAGTCTGAGTTGCTCCCCACAAATATACATCTTTATTAACTTTTTGGAGACCACCTTATGGGCATGAATTTCAAAATTTTGGAGCACCAAAATAAACTTATCTTTTAATTCTACTTCCTGTAAACTTTTTGAAGTACCCACATAGTATTTCACAGCCCTAAGAAATCCTGTGTCTTATGGTTTATGGCTTTTTTTTTTTTTAATGAACAGGCATTATCTATTTCATCGAGCACACTTGGAGACTTAAAGCAACTTTTTGCAGAACTTTTGCAGTCGCACGCTTGACTTCTTAAAGATTTGAGGAGTTGGCTGAAAGCTGCAGAGGACAATTACATTCTAAACTTCAAAACGCACTTGGAGAAATTGCATTTCCAATCCACACATACCCAAAGGGAAAATATAAGTATAATCTGCCATAGAAAAGAAGAATGACAAATGGGAAGTCAATAGTGTAACCTTTAGTTAGGTGGCCACTTGATACATTTTGGGAATGATATGAGTTTGACTGTAAATGGCAATAAACAACACAGAACAGTCTCTATTGCATGATTGGATGTTATTTTCTAGGTCTAATTCGCCTGCAAGAGCTCATCAAAGCTCCCTCCAGATATAACATTAAAATCAAAATCCGCCAGCTGCCCTCTGGGAATAAAGATGCCAAGCCTTTACTCAAGGAGATGAAGAAGGGCAAGGAGTTCTATGTGATATTTGATTGTTCACATGAAACAGCTGCTGAAATCCTTAAGCAGGTAAGAGGGCTAGGGAGGCAGTGGAAGTGGCGGGACATGCTATTTTCTCTTAAACATGCCATCTGGTTTTCAGTTAATGCAACAAGATAAAACTGCTAGCAGTGCATTCTGTGCTAAAGATTACAATTTCCAGAGCTTTATTTAAAAAACAAAGAGCTCTGTTGCCCTCACTGAAGCCACCTGCGGGTTTTTACTTGTCAATGTGTGTCCTTATGTAGTCAGTGGTATGCAGACCCTGACAGCCGCAGATCAGAGGAGAGGGTGGCATTTCAAGGTGATTGAAACCACTGTTTTCCTTATTGTCTCTTGAAAAGACTGATCCAGGTATCATTTGCACAATGCCAGCCTTGTCCTAAATACATCTTCTTCTGGGTGAGACCTTGTATGTCAAACATGCAGTATTTCAGTACAGAAACAGAGGGCCAGGGACAGTCACAGAAAAGATGTTTATCTCTTCTAATTTGTCACAATGAGACACTGCACATTCATCTGCACAGATAACATAGGTGAGGATACTTGGTAAACTGTGAAATCCTGTGTCAGTGAAAGATGTTAGCGATGTCCACAACCACAAGAATAGATTATGAATTTCTGAGCACTTGGTCTCATACTGAAGAAATAAAGCTCACTCCCAGAGTGATTTTTGTATCCCAGAGTTTGTGGCAATGTCTGGAGACATTTTCGGTTGTCATATTTGGGAGGAGGTACTCTGCTGGCATCCAAAAGGTCGTGGCTGGGGACACTGTTAAACAAATTATAGATATTAAAAACCATTGAGGATTGAACTTAGAAAAATATCAGCCAGATTTAGCCTAGTGGTTAAGCCAATTGTTAGGACACCTGTGTTCCATCTTACAGTACCTCGGTTCAATTCCCAGCTCCAGCTCCTGATTCCAGCTTCCTACTAATGAGCACCATGGGAGGCAGTGGTGATGACTCAAGTAGTTGAGTTCCTGCCATCAACATGGGAGACTTGAACTGAGTCCCAGGCTCCTAGCTTTGGCCTCTAGCCATTGTAAACATTTGAAGAAGGAACCAGCTCTTTCTCTCTCTCTTGCTCTCTCTTATAGTCTTAAAAATCTTTTCTCTCTCTCTCTCACTGTCTTGAAAATCAATATATTTTTAAAGATAGCCAGATTATAAAAAAGGAGCTTCAAAAAAATTCATAAAAATTGTAATATTTTAAATCTCATTTTTTACAACATTTTTGGAGACATACTCCTTATTGATGTGGCTTATTGAGCATCTCTATATTTATGGGGTTACTGTGGCATAAACCAATGATCTTATCTAAAATAACACAAGCTATTTTTGCACCCTTTAGTTTGAAAGGACTGAAAATGCTGTATTATTTATTGGTATTGGTAATGGGCAATATTTTTATATGTAGCCTGGCTCCTCTACACAAATACAGATCTATGCATTCTATCATCTTGTCTCCCTCTCTGGTGCTCTGTCTCATACTTGCAGAGCACCTCTCTATAGCCATTGAGTTTGAAATTTTCTATTTGCATTAAACATAGACAATCAAGAAAGTTGACTACATGTCCCTATTATCCAGTGGATAATTATGTTGCAAAACAAAATCTATATAGAGTTTCAATCAAAAGTAATCACAGGCATCACTATATGTAATCCCTTCACTTGAAAGAAGTAAAATGATTTTTAAAGGTTTATTTATTTATTTGAAAGGCAGTGTTTCAGAGAGAGAGAGTTTTCCATCCTCTGGTTCACTCCCAAAATGGCCCTAAGTGGTCCAGGACAAAGCCAGGAGCCAGGAGCTTCTTACATGTCTCCCACTTGGCTGCAGGGGCCCAAGCACTTGAGCCATCTTCTGCTGCTTTCCCAGGTGCATTAGCAGGGAGCTAGATTGGAAGTGGAGCAGCCAGAACTCAAATTAGCACTCATAAGGTATGTGGGCACCACAGCAGTGGCTTAACCTGTTGTGCCACAACACCAGCTATGTAAAATGAAATTTTCCAGAGTTAACACATCTAGCGCTTTCTCCACAATGACATTTTGCTTCTCTAGTCAGAAGAGAATCTGTAACTTATTTCTAGCCTATGGTTTCATTAACAAATCTTTAGGTGAATAGCTATAACTATAATTAATTATCTTAGTAAAGAAAGCAAGCATGTTGCAGTGATGTCAACAGCTAAAGGATTTTAAATGCAACTAAACACCATCAACAGTCCTGTTTACCTCAAGGCTTAATTTGAGAATTTTAGTGCAGTTCATTAACATGTGTAATTTAAGGACTCGTATTTAGCCTAGCTGTTAAGATGCCCAAACCCCACATCAGAGTACCTGATTGTATTCCTAACTCCAACGTCTCTCTCTCTCTCCCACAAAATAAATTAAAAACATTTTTCATTTTTAAAAATGTGTAAGTGGTATGGATCAGAACTAAGAAAAACACCCAGATTTTATGTGTAGCTCTAAAAATGCAGAGACACCTCCTTTCCCATGCATTGTCATAATGGAAGTTGGGGACTTCTGTGACATTTAAGACAATGATTTGCTGATGAGGATTCTCTTTGTTAGCTCCTCATTTGGATCACGTAACTGGCTGCTGCATTTCTCCCAAAAAGGCAGATCTGGACTTGGCAAAAGAGGGTGATGTCAGGTATAGGGAAGGTTGCTGGACTTTGCCCTCTATTTTAACAAATGTGGACATAAAATTCCTTTGGCAGAAGTGGCTCTTACCTGGTAGCCTAGGGATCACTTCATCCAAGAGACAATTAAATACAAACAAAAACTCTAAAAGAAGTACTCCGGAGAGCCCTCTGTTGGGTAATTAGTTCACCTCTACAATAGCCACTGACACAGTTTTCTCCGCTTCCTCTGTCTTACCACCTTTTATCCTGTGTTGAATTTTCCCATTCATGTTAGTGGTAAGGTTGACTGTAAGGCTGGGACAAAGTGACAAGTCTGCTCATCAAGTTTTTCTTCTGGGCTTATGATCTTCCAATATTTTGGAAGCAAAAACTCTTTGTAAAGGATCCTAGCATGAAACCCCTACCACACTGCATATAAAAGCACAATTGTTCTTTCTGAAATTCTACCAGAAGGCTCAGATCATCTTACATGAGGCTTTATAGACCTCCAGAGGCTGTTGTGCATGAATAGGGACATTAGAGACCCCAGGACTTTCTCTTCTGATCTAAATGAGATCGAAGCTCTCTGCGTGATTCTCTTTAACCTGCTCCTTTAGTCCAGTGCAATAATCTGTGGAAACAAATACCTTAAATGCGGCTTGTCTGCTGAGTGATTTTCTAGGGTGGGCTAAGGACTCTGGAGTTCTGGGTCCTGATCCTGACTGCTACTCACTCAATCTTTCTTCGATTTGAGAAAAGGGAAGGAGAGAAGGAGACTTGACCAAGGGCCCTACTAGAGCCAGTCACAGTGCCTGACATAGTGGTAGCATACAATCCCAAACAACTTGCTGGTACTGGGTTGGAACGCTCACTTCAAAGTTGAAGAAATTGAAGTTCAGAAGGGCCAAGGGGTCTATCCAAGGTCACTTTCTGAGTAGCCAGGCTGTTATAGGGTCTGCAGACTCCCTGATCTCAGATCCCACATGCTCACTTCACCTTGAAGTGCCTCAAGTCAGAATGGATAACCATTAAGAAGTAGGCACCCAGACGTGCATGGGCAGAACATAGCCACATGGCTGTTGGTCCCCTTTAGATGAGGTTAGTATTAACAGTTTTTACTGATGTGCATGTGAGTGTGTGTGTGCGTGTATGACGAAAATATCTCTGCTGAGAACATTTTCTCTGCCAAGTCAACTTAGCTTTCTCCTCATGCACGTTTCCCATCAGTTCCCTGCACTTCCTTGTGACTTCAACACATTTTCTTAATGTTTCTTAAAAGAAAAAGAAAGTAAATGCATTTTAAAAAAGATATTTGACATTTATCTAAAAGTGAAAATTGGGGAAATGTCTATAGTTATTCTTGGGCATGCTAATCACTCCAGCAAAGTAATTATTTCTATTCATATTGAACAAGTACTATATGATGAGAATCTGAAAAGTTGCTTCCCCAAAATTAGTATGAAATTCAAATGGCAAGACTTGATTAGGCTACAGAGGAACAGGACTTTCATAGGAACAAAAACCATCTTCATAAATCTCTGCAGTTAGAATATTCTCCTCCAAAGCCAGTAGTTCATATGGCATAGTTTTTCTCCTTATTTACCCAATGCCTCCCTGCAGGCATCCTGATGTTTTAAAAGGATACTTTCAATGAAGAAACCTGGCTCTTCTTAACTCTCCCTTCTCCCAAGTCCCATTATTATTCTACTGACTCTTAATTGCCTGCTGTACATACACTGTCTTGTGTACCGAGTGTGGTTTTACTGAGGGAGTAACTGATGGGAGACAGATTTAATAATGACTCAGAGGGCTGGAAGGTTGTACATATGGAATTCACACCTGTATTCAACACATTGTTGGGTGTTAAGCAACTGTATCATTTAATTGACAGAAAAATACTTGATCCCATTGGTAGTATTTCTTTTTTGCAATTGAAAATTGGGGCTCAGGGTTAATGATAATTTCATCTACTATGTCTCAAACATGCTGTTCATACAAAACACCAGACCCTGAATGAGCTGACCTTGCCTTTCCAGGCTTCTTACCAACCTCAAGCCTGTGATGTTCCATTTTAGGGCAATCCTGCCTGGTCTTGTGACATTCCATTTTTCTACAGCATAGCCCTTGCCCTTGCGGTTGACAAAACCTATAGCATTCTGTCCCAAAGTTGGCCTCACCTAATTTCTTATAACTGTCTCTTCAAAGATAGAAAGGAAAGTGTGCCTATCTCAATCCTATGATCCTGTACTCTGCTTAGTTGGTTCTGAACTCCAATGAAAGTCTATCATTAAATAATGAGCCTTCTTTATATTTTTTCTCCAAATCCTTCTAAACCTACCACATTATTTGAAACCTAGTGAGTGTTTAATATAGCTGTTTTGAATGAAAATTAACTGAAGGAAT